AATTATAGACAGCTTTCATTTCCGTAGCATAGACACTACAGAAAGTAGCAGGGCGGACCTTAAAACGCAGTATCATAAAAGGTCCGCCCTCTGTATTTCAGATATCTTCCTCTTGAGAAGCAAGAATTAGAGACAGCTTTCATTTCCGTAGCATAGACACTAGAAAAAGCAGCAGGGCGGACCTTAAAACGCAGTATCTTAAAAGGTCCGCCCTCTGTATTTCAGATATCTTCCTTTTGAAAAGCAAAAATAATGGACAGGTTTCATTTCCGTAGCATAGACACTAGAAAAATTAGCAGGGCGGACCTTAAAACGCAGTATCATAAAAGGTCCGCCCTCTGTATTTCAGATATCTTCCTCTTGAGAAGCGAGAATTATAGACAGCTTTCATTTCCGTAGGAAAAACACTTAAGAAAGTAGCAGGGCGGACCTTAAAACGCAGTATCATAAAAGGTCCGCCCTCTGTATTTCAGATATCTTCCTCTTTCAAAGCAAAAATTATAGACAGCTTTCATTTCCGTAGCATAGACACTAGAAAAAGCAGCAGGGCGGACCTTAAAACGCAGTATCATAAAAGGTCCGCCCTCTGTATTTTAGATATCTTCCTCTTGAGAAGCTAGAATTATAGACACCTTTCATTTCCGTAGCATAAACACTTACGAAAGTAGCAGGGCGGACCTTAAAACGCAGTATCATAAAAGGTCCGCCCTCTGTATTTCAGATATCTTCCTCTTGAGAAGCAAAAATAATGGACAGGTTTCATTTCCGTAGCATAGACACTAGAAAAAGTAGCAGGGCGGACCTTAAAACGCAGTATCATAAAAGGTCCGCCCTCTGTATTTTAGATATCTTCCTCTTGAGAAGCTAGAATTATAGACACCTTTCATTTCCGTAGGAAAAACACTTAAGAAAGTAGCAGGGCGGACCTTAAAACGCAGTATCATAAAAGGTCCGCCCTCTGTATTTCAGATATCTTCCTCTTGAGAAGCAAGAATTATAGACAGCTTTCATTTCCGTAGCATAGACACTTGAAAAAGCAGCAGGGCGGACCTTAAAACGCAGTATCATAAAAGGTCCGCCCTCTGTATTTCAGATATCTTCCTCTTTCAAAGCAAAAATTATAGACAGGTTTCATTTCCGTAGCATAGACACTACAGAAAGTAGCAGGGCGGACCTTAAAACGCAGTATCATAAAAGGTCCGCCCTCTGTATTTCAGATATCTTCCTCTTGAGAAGCAAGAATTTTAGACGGGTTTCATTTCCGTAGCATAAACACTAGAAAAAGTAGCAGGGCGGACCTTAAAACGCAGTATCATAAAAGGTCCGCCCTCTGTATTTTAGATATCTTCCTCTTGAGAAGCGAGAATTATAGACAGCTTTCATTTCCGTAGGAAAAACACTTAAGAAAGTAGCAGGGCGGACCTTAAAACGCAGTATCATAAAAGGTCCGCCCTCTGTATTTCAGATATCTTCCTCTTGAGAAGCAAGAATTTTAGACGGGTTTCATTTCCGTAGCATAGACACTACAGAAAGTAGCAGGGCGGACCTTAAAACGCAGTATCATAAAAGGTCCGCCCTCTGTATTTCAGATATCTTCCTCTTGAGAAGCAAGAATTTTAGACGGGTTTCATTTCCGTAGCATAGACACTAGAAAAAGTAGCAGGGCGGACCTTAAAACGCAGTATCATAAAAGGTCCGCCCTCTGTATTTTAGATATCTTCCTCTTGAGAAGCGAGAATTATAGACAGCTTTCATTTCCGTAGGAAAAACACTACAGAAAGTAGCAGGGCGGACCTTAAAACGCAGTATCATAAAAGGTCCGCCCTCTGTATTTCAGATATCTTCCTCTTTCAAAGCAAAAATTATAGACAGCTTTCATTTCCGTAGCATAGACACTAGAAAAAGCAGCAGGGCGGACCTTAAAACGCAGTATCATAAAAGGTCCGCCCTCTGTATTTCAGATATCTTCCTCTTGAGAAGCAAGAATTTTAGACGGGTTTCATTTCCGTAGCATAGACACTACAGAAAGTAGCAGGGCGGACCTTAAAACGCAGTATCATAAAAGGTCCGCCCTCTGTATTTCAGATATCTTCCTCTTGAGAAGCAAGAATTTTAGACGGGTTTCATTTCCGTAGCATAGACACTAGAAAAAGTAGCAGGGCGGACCTTAAAACGCAGTATCATAAAAGGTCCGCCCTCTGTATTTTAGATATCTTCCTCTTGAGAAGCGAGAATTATAGACAGCTTTCATTTCCGTAGGAAAAACACTTAAGAAAGTAGCAGGGCGGACCTTAAAACGCAGTATCATAAAAGGTCCGCCCTCTGTATTTCAGGTATCTTCCTCTTTCAAAGCAAAAATTATAGACAGCTTTCATTTCCGTAGCATAGACACTAGAAAAAGCAGCAGGGCGGACCTTAAAACGCAGTATCATAAAAGGTCCGCCCTCTGTATTTCAGATATCTTCCTCTTGAGAAGCAAGAATTAGAGACAGCTTTCATTTCCGTAGCATAGACACTACAGAAAGTAGCAGGGCGGACCTTAAAACGCAGTATCATAAAAGGTCCGCCCTCTGTATTTCAGATATCTTCCTCTTTCAAAGCAAAAATTATAGACAGCTTTCATTTCCGTAGCATAGACACTAGAAAAAGCAGCAGGGCGGACCTTAAAACGCAGTATCATAAAAGGTCCGCCCTCTGTATTTCAGATATCTTCCTCTTGAGAAGCAAAAATTATAGACAGCTTTCATTTCCGTAGCATAGACACTAGAAAAAGTAGCAGGGCGGACCTTAAAACGCAGTATCATAAAAGGTCCGCCCTCTGTATTTTAGATATCTTCCTCTTGAGAAGCAAGAATTAGAGACAGCTTTCATTTCCGTAGCATAGACACTAGAAAAAGTAGCAGGGCGGACCTTAAAACGCAGTATCATAAAAGGTCCGCCCTCTGTATTTCAGATATCTTCCTCTTTCAAAGCAAAAATTATAGACAGCTTTCATTTCCGTAGCATAGACACTACAGAAAGTAGCAGGGCGGACCTTAAAACGCAGTATCATAAAAGGTCCGCCCTCTGCATTTTAGATATCTTCCTCTTGAGAAGCAAGAATTAGAGACAGCTTTCATTTCCGTAGCATAGACACTAGAAAAAGTAGCAGGGCGGACCTTAAAACGCAGTATCATAAAAGGTCCGCCCTCTGTATTTCAGATATCTTCCTCTTGAGAAGCAAAAATTATAGACAGGTTTCATTTCATATTCATCTACTCAAATCATGTTAAAGCCGTTTTCAAAACTTTTAAAGAATATTATATTTTTGGGGCACAATAAAGCCTAAACCGTACCTTCTTCTTTCGTACATTGAAAGGTCTGTCCTCCGTAATTTCCGGATTTTTTCTTGATTTACCATGAAAATCGTTTATTTTGCTTCTATCTGTAGTCTAAATTCAAGAAAAAATGCCAGGACGGACCTTTAAACGCGCTGTAAGAAAAGGTCCGCCATCTGGATTTCCCAGTTTCTCCTGTTATTTACTGATATAGCTCTTTTTTGCAAAAGTAATTACAATGCAGACCTTAAAAACTGTACAATAACAGGTCCGCCCTCTGTATTTTCCAGGATTTTTCTTGAATGACAATGAAAACCATATATTTTTCTCCTTTCTGCACTGTAAATTGAATAAAGTATATTAGGGTGTACCTTAAAACATACTATAAAAAGGTCCTCTTTCTGTATTTCCAAAAGTTTCTGTAAATGAATGTAATGAAAATCATGGTTATCGCACATTTCTGCTGTGTAAGTTCGAGATAAATTGCCAGAGCGGACTTTAAAGCTCGCTTTAAGAAAAGGTATTCCCTCTAATTTTCCCAGGGTTTTTGTTTTTTTGTTACAAATTGATAGTTACTTATACCGCATTTTTCTGCAAAATTAATTTCGACCACTACAATAAAAGGTCCGTCCTCCGTATATTCTAGATTTTTTCTTGAATTTAAGATCTGACTCCTTTCTGCGGTCTAAATTCAAATTGAAATGCCAGGGCAGACAACACAATATCAAGGTTATACAATGAAAATCGAAAAACGCTCAAATTCTAGAGAAAATTTAGGACACAGCGTAATAAAAGGAAGAATAGAACCACATATCTTTGTATATGGCTGTTTTGATACTGAAAATTTAGATTCCAAAATAGTTTCCCGATAAAATAAAAAGTTCTGCTGTATTTTTATTTTTTTTTTTCTAGTTACGATATGAAGGTGGAATTTATGACGCCGCATGAAGAAATATCCTGCTATAGACAAAATATATGTTTTATTTTTGTGTTACACATGTAACTACTTATAATAGAACATCTCTTTAAAGACTGATATCTAAAGAACAAAGTGTTCATATTAGCATGTGCTTGAAATTTACGCTAAATCAATGTCTTTAAGACCTGTCTCATTACTCTCTGGCACGAGGAATAGTTTCTCATCGGGAAAGAGGGATGTGGTTGAAATGACATAAAAAATCCTCTGTGTGTGTTTGTGATGTGTGAGTGTGTGTTAGAGAGCGTTTCATTCCAATGTAATAAAAATGGATTCAATACTTGGCAGGAAACCTACGTGTATTATGGACCCCCAGTATCTGAGATCATTATATTCAGTTTTGTTTTAATTCGTGACTAAAGCATCAATTAAATTTTTTTTTCAATAATAATATTAATCAGAGAAACTTGTCTAATTAAGATGCTGCTGGTTCCAGAAAAATTAGCCAGATAAGGCAACATTTCAGGTTAAACAACATTTAATTAAAACAATTGAATTACAAAGTATGAGGCAAGATTTCGGAATACACAACATCCGGATTAGACAAGTTTCACTGTATTAACATACATGTAATAATATATCAGACTTTAGCCAGTGGGCTCATGCATTTCACAACCTTGGTAATAGACTTCTTTTTTTGATAAACACTCATAGAGCTTGTTTTTATCAATGAATTAAAACCAGAATAGAAGACAGAGGCGAGACAATGTAATACCTGGTTAAATAATTTATTTCATTCTACATATTTCATACATACAGACTGATACCATAACATGCCTGGAGATTATTTCAATTATAGAAATAAATGATTACTTGGTGATGCCATTTATGATTAATACTGTTTCCTTTCACAACAGTCAAAAATTACACAGACATGTAAGCGAAAAAAAATTTGAAAAATCTCTTCTGAAAATCCATGAACAAAGATTTCTGTTACAAAAAAGTAAAATTTTTGACGAATTATTTAGCTGACAAATTGGAATCATGGTCATGCACACAGAAAGAACCATACAATAAATACATACAAACTCCTCAAATATACAAGTATTCAAGTCAAAACAATTCAAAACCTTAAAAACAATAATCTCAGAAAAGGCAACATTAATGATAGATTTTTATCATGTTTAGAGATTCATAATACTGATAAACTAATAATCATAACACTGATAAACTGATAATCATAATACTGATAAACTGATAAAAAAAAAACATGATAAAACCAAGTGATGGTACCAAATAAATTATAAATTTGAATATCCTAATTTAGTTCAAAGGCTAGGTTAAGCTTACTCCTAGCCAGTGTCATAAAGTACAAAAATTTCAATCATGATATCAGTCCAATTTCAATGATTTTGAACTTGTATATAAAAAAAACCCATTAAGTCCACCAGAAAATACAATAAAATTGTGGTAAATAGTTTATTTAAAAGAACTGTGTTGGTTCATTTACAGTCAAATCTGTGTTTTGATTGAATCCTTTCAAAACTGAACTAGTTTCAGTTGTTTAGAACATTTTTCAACAAAATTCCCAAATACTGAAGAAATTCATTAGCACCTTTCAAAAGTTTGATTTTAAATTCATGATTTTTCATTTTGAAAACAAAACATGTGACATTCTTTGGCTGCTTTTTCACTATAATTCCAGCAAGGATCCATCCTCATGCTAACTTGAAAGCTTGCTCTCTTGTCTCCAAAGGCAGATGATACAAACATGGTCTGCAGTCACTTTTCTCCCTTTTATATTTGAGCACTGCAAATGGACCCACAATCCACAATCCTGACATCTGGTCCACACTGCTTTCTTTGGTTTAACACAAAATGGAATCTGACAAACTTCTTCATCTTCTGTTGAGCCTTCAGTTAATCTTTGCTTCACGTAAAGTCTGTAGCGCTTGACGTGGCCCTGCTGCATTATTCCTGGGTTTGTTCCAGAAACAATGGCCTCTGCAAACTAAAAGGAAAGCAACAATCTAAAACTATGTTCACAACTGTTAGAATAAATAATAAAAACCATATTTTTTCCAAAATTTGAAAAAAAAAAAATTTCTTAAAATAGGTGCCTCTCTGACTATAGAAGTGATATTTGTTTAGTTGAGCAATCCTATGTTTGACTAAGATGAATGATATACAGGTACTAAAATGAACATTATTAAGTCAAAGACTTCACTACATTAGCTGATTTGTTTTGCCAATATTCGTAAAGTCCATTCTAAAATTACATTTTTCTTGAAATTAGATTGAATTGTTTGAACTATACATGTAGGAGTAAAATCTATTAGTTATTAAGGAAAGTATGAATTATTGTGTACACACCATGAGAATGAAGATTCCGCAGCTGTTCCCATCTTTCTGCAGATTGACATGGTGGTTCAGGGATACCCACTTCTCCAATCCCTCTGGGAAATACCGCTCCCGTGTGAACATATACTTTCTGCAAAAATAAAGTTATGATAAATTTTGAGATTTTTACAGATGAAAAAATATGACATATATGTATACAGGATTATATTTGCTCCATTTGTTTTCAGTCTTTCGACTTGCAAACACTCTGCCCCATTGTAAATACTGTAAACAGGAAATTTTCACCCCATTTTATTTTCACCCCTTTCACCATACCCTCTGTTGGGTGAAGTTTAAACAAGACAAATTCAAAGGATACAGTATAATTTCTTAAACAGGACCACGACTGTGCAAATTTAAGGTAGGGCAGAATTATTTACAAGTGTGAAAGGGTGACAGTATGCCCAAACACAGCTGTGTTTCAAAGATAGTGGTGTCTTTCCCTAATAAGTCCAATTATTAATCTGGCAATTTGCAAAATGGGGCAAAAATAAATGGAGACAAAATAAAAATTTTCCTGTATACACTTATATTTAATATATAAATTGACAGACTTCTGAGATAATGCTGTGTCAACCCTTTTTTTAACTTTTAAAATACAATCTTTGATATGGAAGGTTAAATGTTGTTTTTGCATACACACCTCCACTTATTTTCTATGTCGGGATGATCACCTCCCAGTGAGTCCAGGATAGACAATGTTCTATTCCTTACATCTGCTACCAAGAGCATCCAATGATGATGACGACATATAGGCATGATGATGAAGGAATAGGTTGCCAGTTTCACATTTGGGAAAAGCCAACCCAGGTAGTCCCGCTGAACCCACTTCTCATGCAAAAAGCAAGGGAGGACATACACCTCATTTTTCTGTTGCTGTGATCTCTCTTTTTGAAGAAGGCCAAGATATGCATGGATGACCTGTGTAATGGAAAGTAAATTATTGATAATATACAATTAATAATTGCATACAGGTAAGAAGAACAACACATGCACTTATGCTCCCTAATCATAACAATCTTCGACAGTTTAATGCAGATAGAAAAGTAAATGATTTCAATATAACATAAACTATAATACTTACTCATTTATACCTGACTATATTTAAGTTAAACTGTGAATTACTTCAAAATTTCAGAGAATTTTTATGATGGTAAACAATTAGCACCTTATCATACAAAAAACAAAAAAAAAAACCAAACAAATAAATGCAAAATTACATTGAAAGTTCGTTATTTTATTCAAAATAATAGGCCAATTTCACAGTGTTCTTGATAAATCTAATTTTATTGAAGAAAATATAAAAGGAAATGCTTTACTAAGATGAAAATTGCTTTAAGCCTTTTACATGACGTATTACAGAACACGATCTATTTCTCACTGGCATGTGGCCATTAATCATATTTAGTTTAGTTCAAAATCTTTTTTGTCAAGGAGTGGTTGGGTATAAACTCCGTTTCACTCTCATCTGACCATTTTTTTGTCAATAAATATAATTCAGATTGAGTAGGATAAATATTTTTCTTAGTAAATTCTCAATACAGCGTTTAGTTATCAGTAATATATAAGAATTTTCAAAACAGCATATACAGCATCTTTCATTTTACTCTTTCAAATTAATACTTGCATATTTTTCTATTGTTTTAGCCATGTGTTTTTTTTTTAAATTTTGATTTAGAAGTGAATATGTTAATATCTTACAGTATCATCGAGCCATTCTTCTCCATCTAGGCAAAGAAGATCCTTGGCATAGATCGAATTGTTGGCAATCACTAATCTTTTTGATGCTGGCAGTTTTCCAGTTGGTCGGATGCCTATCTTCTGGAGATGACTAGGGTCTTCCTTAATTGTGTCCATAATCTCTACCAGTGGCATTCTTTTTATGCAGGATGCAAGGATGACTGCTGATGACAGCATGGCAACACTGGTTTTTTCTCCCAAATCTTTGCCACTGATCTCCTGGATAACTTGGTCAAATATAAAATCAAACGCCTCTTCGTCTTTGTTGTTCATATCCTTAATCATGGATAGCCTTAAATCGGAGTTGCAGACTGGCATCTGTGAAGGGCTTGTGATAGATGGCATTTTCTTCTTCATCAAAGATGTTTGGATAGCTGCTACCAAGTCTGTTTGGAGAAATTCTACTATCCTTTGCTGAATGTCTTCTTTAGCATCTGTTAGGAATGACATCTCACAGGAGGGTTCTTTGTTGCCTGTACTTTCCTGTTGGTTCCTAATCTTATCCCTCTTGACCTGGGTCGACTCTGTGGTGTTGCTATCTTCTTGTGCATGTTTTCGTTTCCCCCTGAGAGACTTCTTTATGGTGGCAGTGTTAGACTTTTCGGAGGCCTTAGGTCCCAACAGAGTTTGGCTTTCCTCCCTGAGAGGCTGGTCGGTGGTGTTCACTGTTTGCTGGTGCAGGTTCCTGGTGGCCTGGGTGGGGTCAGTGCCTGTTGCTATCGTAACACGTTCAGGCTTCCTCTTTGTCTGCAAATGTCCAGGTCTTTTCCTCTGCAGTTTCAAATTTGCAGTGCTACATTTCGTTTTAAGTCTTGATCCAGTTTTATCTTTCAGAACTGCTACACCACTTTTTGAAATGGAATCAATAGTGTATGGTCCTATCCAGTTTAACTCCTTGAGCTTGGATTGTTTCCGCTGCAGTTTTCTACAGTTCCTCCGATATACAATATCTCCTGGTTTGAACTTCAGTCTTGTTGTAACTTTTCTCTGCTGTGCCTCTTTCATCCTACACTGTGCAGTCTTGATGTTTTCGTTGACAGAATCTTGCAGTTTTTGCCTAAAGTTGTTCAGGTTGTTTACAAGGGCCTCTGTAGCCTGGTTTGGACTGATGCTCTCTTTTAGGTTTAATTCTGATGGAAGGGTTGGCTCTCTTCCAAATGCAATCTCATATGGTGAAGACTTTGTTACATTTGAATTCGCCTGTCGGATACCAAATAACGCAGCCTCGAGGTGGATATCCCAGTTGTTGGTATCCTGTTTCAGTTTCTGCAGAGCCCTGTATTAGAAAGATCCAAACTAACAAGGCGTTTTTGGTATAAACATGAGGCCCACAGGCCTTGATGATGAAAACCCTTTTTGGCTATGGAGAAGATCAAAATGCGAAAAAGTTCAAATTCCAGAGGTGGGATCAAGGTGATTATATTTTAAAATTAATAAAAAAAAAGTATAATACAAAATTCAAAATATCCATTTCAAATTTCTATTATCTATGTGAAATAATGAGCTATTGAAATATATCAAAAAAAGTTTAAATCAAACAACAACAACCCCCCCCCTTTTTTTTGGTTTACTTCAGCAAAACATTAGATGAAATTACAGAGCCCGAGTTTTGTAGGGAGGGTATCACCAAAAAATTTGTATCACGATATATCACAATATCTTCCCAAAATATCATGATAATATCATGGTATTTTTACAAGCAACTTTTTACAATGATTTTGAATAAATTTTGAGAATTTTTCCTAAAAATTTGCTGAAAAACATAACTCACTCTTTTTTAACTTTTCTCATTTACATACAGGCACTAAAAGGTGTGTTTGATGCTAGGAAGCTGTTCTTTTAGAGTTTTTTACGTGTCCTGTAATTATAATTTGAAAGTTTGAACAAATAAATGAAAAATTTATGGAATTTATAATCATGTACCTCAACACTGCTATGTTAGTGTCCATATCAAGATACATATCATGCAATTAATAAAGTGCCCCGCCACAGCAAGATACGCCCGTCAAATATTGTTCAATTGTCATAAACAGTTTAGAGTGCAAAAAATTCATGTCAACCTTGATACAAGGATTTCAATGATTTCTGCATTCCTCATAATATTTGTTTATACATCTCCTGTGGTGTAGGCATTAATTACAACAAATATTACATTATAGATCTTCAACTGGTTGTGTCAGAGCTTGACAAATGCCCATCTGCAGCCCCCCCCCCCCCCCCCCCCCCTCCAGATTTGTGAGACATGATCCTCTGAATTTGTTGATATTTTCAAAAAATTAATTAAAAATATCATATTAAACAATATCAACTTAGTCTTAACAACTTATATCAAATTGATATCAAACATAAAAGGCTGGCCATCAAATGACATATGCTATAAACTGACAAGCAGTTCTTCTGTCTAATTCCCAAAGGATACAGATAAGAGCTGCTTGATCAGAGATCCCCTAACAGAAATAAATGAGACAGCTAGCTTCCTACACTGAACTCATGAATTAATATTTAACTGGATGCATATGGCACGCCAATTTCACAAAAATTAGCGAAACTTAGTTTCACAGTTGATAAGCTAGGTTTATCAACTGTAAACTATAGTTTACAAACCGTGAACTATAGTTAATGATTCGTTAACTATAGTTTTCATCTGTAAAACTATATTTAACGGTTGTTAACTATAGTTTACGAATGCTAATCTAAGTTTATCTGTCTGTAATTAAACGTTAACAATAGATTTTGTTGATAAACATAAATTCACATCTGTAAACTATAATTTATAATCGTGAACTATAGTTAAGAGTTGTTAATCATAGTTTCCCAAATCGTGAAACTATATTTATCAGATAAACTATGTTTTACATTCGTTAACCATAGATTTCGGTTGTAAACTATAGTTAAATGTCATTTATACTCACAAACTATATTTAACAGACGTAAACTATACTTATCGATCGTAAACTATAGTTTTGAGAGCTAAACTATGATTCACATTTGCCAATCATAGTTTATCGTAATAAACTATAATTCACACTCGTAAACTATAGTTAAGAGTTGTTAAATATAGTTTATGAATCTAAACACCTGTTAACTGTTAACGATAGTTTTCAATTCGAAATTTCGCGGCACCAATCGCGAGAAGCAATAATAGGACACGTGTTGGGCATTATCTAAAGCAAAGACCGAGTTATATATAATCAATATTACTTTCTCTATTTAAACAGGATTAATTGTATTTGTTTTAAAATGTCGTGTATATATACATTTCCTATGGGGAAATTTTTAGAAATATGATAAAATTTTAATTTTTTAAAAGACAGAATATTACGAGATTTTTGCTCAAGCAGAGGAGGGTGAAGCGCGTTTTACAATGTGCCAAGCATTTTCCCGCCACATCTCAACACCAAAACAAAGAAACTGAAAGAGAGGAAATGCAGTGGCGGATATAGATAGGGTTGTGGGGGTTTCAACGTCCTCCTTTGAATTTAAGAGAGAGAGAATGAGAGAGAAGTCCCAAATATTTGTTGTGTTTGTTCCGTGAAAGGCTACTTTTATTTATGTATGAAGAAAATTTGGTTGTTGAAAAATAAATTCCGCGCCTGCAGTGTTACATGTACTGTGTTATGTCTTTATTTACAGATGAATATAAGATATACATGTATTTTATTAATGACAGATCACGCATTTCGGTCTCTATTTTTCTCTTTTAAATCAAAAAAATAACATTTTAATCAATAATTTTCCAGTCATTTTTCTTTTTATTTCCAACTAGATTTGCTTTAAAATAATAGAACATTTACTTATTACGCCAACAAGAAATATACAAGCATATATATTTAACAACAATTGTCGTAACATAGCAAAATCTTATAATGCTGTAACTAGGATTAGCCGATCTATAATTTACAAAAAAAAAAAAAAACAAAAAAAAAAACAACTATTGTTAACTATGGTTTTGATCGTAAACTATGGTTTAGAGTCGTGAAATCTAGTTTCACAGAAAATTGTGCATCTCTGATACAAAATAAGAGATTCTGTTCCTAAACTGTGTTTCTCAAGTGTAAAACTATGTTTATCGCATTTTTGTGAATTTGGCGCTTTGTTTGTCTGTAAAGTATACTTTACAAAGCCTAAACTATAATTTACATTTGTTAAGTATAGTTTAGAGTTGTAAATCATAGTTTACAAATCGTGAAACTATATTTATCAGATAAACTATATTTTGCAGTAGCAAATGATTGTTTTCCGTGTTAATTATAGTTTACGCTTGTGAAACATAGATTATCGTGTAAACTATAGTTTACATATGTGAAATATAGATTATCATCGTTAACTATAGTTTACGGTCTGTAAACTATAGTTTACAGTCGATAAACCTAGTTTATCAACTGTGAAACTATGATTAGCTCATTTTTGTGAATTTGGCGTGCCATAGATGCATGTCCACTCATTACTCCCAATGGATGAATGGATCTATACAAACTATCTGCTTTGTAGTGCAATAAAAATGCATATTTATGTCATTCTGATATTGAATTTGAAAACAAAGATTTTTTTTTTATTTGTTACAAACATTTATAAAAAGAAAAAAAACTTGTGTAATCTTGATGCAATATTTTTAATAAGGTTCCTGCATTACTCTTAGATTTGTAGGGACTATCTACCATAATTAAAACATTTTTTTAAATACTTGATTATTTTTATATTTAATGTCAGACTGGTTTTAAGATGCAATTCATACAGACAAGGGGCATGCTGAGTCCAACACCCCCCCCCCCCAAGTATAATTAGTCTTAATTATATTATACAATATCATTTAGTTTATTATACAATATCAAATTAATTTATTATACAATATCAAATAAGTTTTAATTACTTTCCAACAAATTCATTTTTCAAAGTTAGGCTAGCCAACTATTTAATCCAACAGGACTGATTTTTTTTTTATCCAGTTCCCAAGAGATATAGATAACACCTGCTTGATCAGAAATGCTCTACCAGTTAGCTCCTCACACTCAACACATGATTAATTTCCCTCTAATCTGACATGCAATTTTCTGTTAACAAATTCTCCTTGACCAGTGCTTGATAATTACACCGATGGGAGAGGTGGAATTTCTCTTGAAACATTACATTTGTTATAGATTATAGAAAGTATATAATGAAAAAATAAGTATTTTCTTGATATAACATATTTTTAGTAAGTATACTGCAACACTCTTGCATTTTTTGGGGGATTGTGTAATCTAATAGAAAAAAGGCAGGTTTATTATGAAATTTTACTTAAATTAAAGGTCACAGTGACCTTGAAATAGGTCGCAACACATCTTCTACCTAAGATGCATAAAATGGCCAAGTTTGATGATTCTAAGTCTAATAGTTTTCTAGTTGTGAGCCAGACAGGATTTTTCCATATTTGGCCATAGCATCTTAATTAAAGGTCAGAGCGACCTACTTTTAGTGCGTGACACACCCTCTACCCAAGAAGTATCAGCTGACAAAATTGATAATCCTAGGCCTACTAGTATTAACGTTATGAGCCGGATACCAGAATAGCTAACAGACAGACAGACAGACAAACAGTCATGAATGCCATAACATAATACGTCCCATCTAAAGACAGGTGTATAAGAATCATGATATACCTGCAGTATTCTTCCCTATAGAGTTATGCCCCTTTTCTATAGCCAATTAAATCATGCCAAAATTATGCTTTCTGTTCATCATATTTTTTAAAAAAAAATTTGCAGCAATATTATGTATTTTATGGATTTCATCTATGAAAAAGAATTTATGTTGCAATTAGCTTGATGTTGGGCCAATTTTATCATGAAGTTGACTAAACTAAAAATGTAAGCAGAAGGCTCACTTGAGCAAATCCATGAACATAACAAGTAAGAATAGGATGATTACCTCAGCCTCTTAAGCAGTTGGCTCTTTAATGAATTAAACATTAATAAATAGATCAATGATAAAATATCTTATTACTTAAACCTAATTCATACTATTACATGTATTCTTTGAGACATACAAATAACTTTAATGCTGTGTGTCAGCTCAAAAAATAATAACCCCACCAACGGCTACAATTGTATTAAAGTGAGTACCGGTATTTGCAATTTTGTTAATGTATCTTTAGACTTGTCAAAATATTTGTTTTAAAAAAATGACACATCCTCTGGGTGAAATTATGAAATAAAATGCTTTATGAATTTTTACATTTATTCTGCCAGTGACCTTGAACTTGTCACAGATTATAAAAGCAGGATTTTTATACTTTTTCTTCCAGTGACCTTGAAATTGCAAAAAATGATCTTCAATCAAGGTCATCGTCATGGCACATCCTCAGGTCATAATCAATCTTCATATCACATATCAGCTGCCTATGATTCTTCATTACAAAATGTTCAAAGAAAACTAAGTATTGATGAACAGAAATCAGTTGATCAAACACAACAGAAAAAATCCTACAAATGGATTCATCCTCAGGTAGTGTAGATTAAAAGTTTGTTTAAATCATCCCCCCCCCCCCCCCCCCCAGCTACTTTTTGGACCACCATATATATTTAAACTTTCCAATAATGATTTTTTTTTACTTAACTATATGCTGAAATGTCCACAAGTATTTTTCTGCAAAGCCCATTTTTCCACTAAAATGTCCTGTCAATCTGCTGTAATGTTTAACACCAACATGTATTGAATATTCTTAAGTGGATACAAAGAATTGCTCTTAACACTCCACAAATTGACCAATTAGCCAACCATCTCAATCTTACAAGCCATTTTTTAAATCTGTAAAAATCATTAAATCATCAATATCCAGACTTTTTTTAATTTAACTGAAATGTGTTCATATTAACACTATTTTAATTTTAGACACCCTGACTGCAAATCGATATTAACTGTACATCTCTCATGAATCCTTTTCAACATTTAGAAACAAGTACTCTAGATGCATTTTATTTTTCTGTTGCCTGTTTAAACATGTTTTAGGTCTATACCAGTTTTTTCAGGGGCGAAACTTTATAGGATGTTGCAAAAGACCCCCCTCCCCCATTTTGATGTCATTTTCAAGCCCTTACTTGTTCAGACACTCCATATTAAATTTACATTAAAATTTCATATCACTTACAGAATGAGGTAAAAATTGCAAATTTTCGGAACAATTGTGTCATACCACATGCCTGAATTAATGGGATTTTTTGTAAATAGTTTTTCTCTGCAGTTACACTAAGGTAGATAAAACATGTTTGAAGCTGTGCAACCTGTACATATCATTGCTTGCAAAAACATTAAAATTTAATTAAAAAATAAAACATGATTTATGTTTTATTCTATAGATAATACAGATGATGCTAACTAAATGTCTTAAAATTCATTAATGTACCTAAAGCAGTTTTAACTTTAAGGTGCTAGTCCACCAACTTTTTTTATAACCCCTCGTAATAAAATAATTTGCTGAGTATGGCAGAAAATTTGGAGATTCCTATACAATTCTTAAGAAAAAGTAAAGTTGAACTTTGGTATCTTCAACACAAATATCTCAAATATTATGGATGTATTGAAGTGATTTGGAAGTTCCAACCACTTATTCTTTGAGTATTTTACCCTTGATATCTAGAATCCCCAGATATTTCAATGCTTTTTCTTCTTAGTCCCATTAAGTGCAAGATAACTAGATTTGACTGTACCTGTATTTTGAGACAATCCTTGAAAATACCCAAACATTTTCATGACAACTTAAATCTACACTAAGCGCAGTGTAAGCTACACATGGTATAACATTACATGTGTTGTGTTTTTCTATTCTTATTGCTACACAGATAATCTTCTGACAGACCCCTTAATTATGCACCTTTGAATGATGAATTGACATATAAAAGGTTTCTTACCTCTCAATTGTTTGATTTGTTCGTTCTTGCAGTCCATTTGTCTGGGGATGATAGGGAGTAGACACTTTATGCTTTACACCAAAGTATGTGTTCATTTCCTCCATTACCTGTAAAACAAAACAAAATCTTGTGCTATAATCAAAAAGAAACCCACTTTGCTCACCTGCTGTTATCAATCAGCAGATTTTTTTCCTATCCCAAAAAAGATTCCTATATAAAACTTTGATCCTTACTTGTTGTCCCACAATACCCCAGAGGGGCATAATTTGAAGAAATTTGAATCTATACTAACAGGTGAATGCTAATAAGAAATTTAAAGGGCAATATGCAAACCAGCTATCTTTCCATTTCCACTGAAGTGGAGGTGATCAAAGAGTTAAAAAGACTATATACATAATGTAAACAGTATGTTATGGTTCCAGCTGACAAGGCTTGTAACAGTATCATATATGTTTGCAGGACTCATGATCATAACTGTATTTTAGAAGAACTTCGTTTTAATTCTAGCATTAGTAATTGAGAATGTCAAATATTAATGCAATAATTTATGGCGTTAAAAGTTGCAATTGCAATGCTTAATGATATTTCTTTCATTAAGCGCATTTTATTATTAGTGGTTGCTACAGACCAGGCCCATGTATATAATTTAATAAAAGGGGTGCTAATGGTATGACAATTTATAATTAACTTAAAAACTTACTTAAAACATGTTGAAATAAAAATTCTCTAACCTTATTACAAAAGTGAGATCCCCTGTCTGAGATTAACACATCAGCTGCTCCATATCGACAGTACAAACTGTGCAGAAACTTTGCAGTAGTTTGTGCATCATTCTTTGCAACAGCCATTGCCTCCGGCCACTTGCTAAAGTAGTCAGTTGCAGCAATAATGTATCTGTTTCCAGATACAGTTTCAGCAAAAGGCCCAATGTAGTCAATGCCCCATTGCCTCCACAGATCTTTGATAACTGGAATTGGATGTAGCTCTCCAACAGGCTGCTGCTTTAGTGTAATGTTGCTTTGCTGACATTGTTGACAGGACAGACACTAAGATGAAAACAAAGAGATGATATATTTATGGAGTACAATGTCAATGTTACGGAAATATTGAAAAAGGGTCAACTTCTAAATTTGGAATATACTGTAGATCGCTTTATTTTGCGATACCTAAAAATATTTACACAAGATAGCAATTTGTTAATTACAGTGGATTCCATTTTATCAGATAGCAGTTAATTGTAAACTAATATTTCATCTTTTTCAATATAATATCAGAACACAAAACCATTTCTTATATATTTATTATAAATTTTACCTGATATTCTGATGAGAAAGTATAAGCCATACAAAATTTTTGTGAGCTGAGTAAGTGGGAAAACATTTCTTTACATAACAAATATACACGAGAATACAATATTTGCGAGCAGACTCACGTAATTATGCAAAAATAAAGTTCTCGCAAATAAAAAATGATTTACAGTATCCTTTCATGGCAAGATTTTTGAAGAATGAAAGAAAAAGTGAGCAAGCTCACATACCCCACGCTTCCCCAAAACTCGACAATGCAACACGTAATGAATGGCACAGTGCATTTTAAATACACAGTATAATTCAAAAAAGGGGCATTACTTGCAAAAAATCATCACATCAAAACTTCTTGCATATAAGGACATTCAAATCTTTGTATGTTACAAATTTAACTGGGCTGAAGTTTCTAGATAAATAATGGAATCAAAATTTCTTGGTAATATACAAATCTATACATTATTCTGAAATACCTACAAAGTTTCAGGAAATTCAGTGCCGGAATTATGCTGACAAACTGTTATTTAAATTCCTCAGTGATTTCGATTTGTTAATGAGTGTAAGTCCATGTCCAACACATGACAGTTTACACATTTAAATAATTGATGGAAACAAAATTATGATGTAGTCATTCATATGAATCTGTTTATATACTGTACTTATGAAATTATTTAAGGCAAAGCACACCAATTTGAAGGGGGGGGGGAGGGGGGGAGAGAACTATCGAAGATGGTGTGTGTGTGAGTGTGTGTTTGTGTTAAACCATTAATATTTTGATCTCAAAATCAATAGGGGTCTTTTAAGGTCATAAAATATTTCACATAGAATTTCATTATAAAAAGCTGATTCCAGTGGAGTTTCTTATTACCTAGCTGGAAAGTTTCTTCAATAAAAGGCAAAACTCTTAAGGCAAAAATAATGGAATCGGAATTTCCTGGTAATATGCACATCTACACACTGTGTACTAAATATCTACAAAGTTTGTCCAAATTCTGTGCAGCGGTTTAAGAGGAGTTGTGCTGACAAACTGTTCATCTCTATATTCAAGATATGGCCAAAAACCTAAGTTGAAAAGTGCCGAAATTCCCAGAAAAAATAATGGAATCAGAATTTCCTGGTAATATGCACATCTACACACTGTGTACTAAATATCTGCAGAGATTGACCAAATTCTGTGCAGGGGTTTAAGAGGAGTTGCGCAGACAAACTGTTCATCTTTATATTCAAGATATGGCCAAAAATCTAAGTTGAAAAGTACTGAAATTCCCAGAAAAATAATGGAATCGGAATTTCCTGGTAATATGCACATCTACACATTGTGTCCTAAATATCTGCAAAGTTTGACCAAATTCTGTGCAGCGGTTTAAGAGGAGTTGTGCTGACAAACTGTTCATCTTTATATTCAAGATATGGCCAAAAATCTAAGTTGAAAAGTGCCGAAATTCCCAGAAAATATAAAGGAATCGGAATTTCCTGGTAATATGCACATCTATACATTGTGTGCTAAATATCTGCAAAGTTTGACCAAATTCTATGCAGCGGTTTAATAGGAGTTGTGCTGACAAACTGTTCACCTCTATATTCAAGATATGGCCAAAAACCTAAGTTGAAAAGTGCCGAAATTCCCAGAAAAATAATGGAATCGGAATTTCCTGGTAATATGCACATCTACACACTGTGTACTAAATATCTGCAAAGTTTGACCAAATTCTGTGCAGCGGTTTAAGAGGAGTTGCGCTGACAAACTGTTCATCTCTATATTCAAGATATGGCCAAAAATCTAAGTTGAAAAGTACTGAAATTCCCAGAAAAATAATGGAATCGGAATTTCCTGGTAATATGCACATCTACACATTGTGTCCTAAATATCTGCAAAGTTTGACCAAATTCTGTGCAGCGGTTTAAGAGGAGTTGTGCTGACAAACTGTTCATCTTTATATTCAAGATATGGCCAAAAATCTAAGTTGAAAAGTGCCGAAATTCCCAGAAAATATAAAGGAATCGGAATTTCCTGGTAATATGCACATCTATACATTGTGTGCTAAATATCTGCAAAGTTTGACCAAATTCTGTGCAGCGGTTTAAGAGGAGTTGTGCTGACAAACTGTTCATCTTTATATTCAAGATATGGCCAAAAATCTAAGTTGAAAAGTGCCGAAATTCCGAGAAAAATTAAAGGAATCGGAATTTCCTGGTAATATGCACATCTACACATTGTGTCCTAAATATCTGCAAAGTTTGACGAAATTCTGTGCAGCGGTTTATGAGGAGTTGCGCTGACAAAAAAACAGGACTGACGGACTGACTGACTGACTGACACACTGACTGACTGACTGACTGACTGACGGGTCAAAAACATTATACCTCACGCAACTTGTTGCGTAGGGTATAATGATCTGATGAGAGAAGGAGGTAGGGGAAAAATATGAACCAAGACTGTAGTGTATGTTACATACATTATAAGATTGTATTGTTACATATATTGCATCAAGAATAGTATGTTTAATTTGCAATGAAATAAACATCACGTCTTGGGTTTGATTCTCTGTCCAGCCATATGCTTTTCAATAAATGTTTTTATGAGTTTTCAATGTATATTAATTAACTCATTCCTCCTTTCCACACTACAGATGGTGCTGTGGCATGCCTTGTTCAGGCATATAATAAATATATATAATTATACTGTTAAGTCCTGAGAAGATTTTTTAAAGATTCCTAAACATGTAAAACATGTAATACTAAAAACTCTGATTGACCATTAAAGCCCCACCCCTGGGAAGGGGGGGGGGGGGGGGAGGGGGGTCATGATTCAGTCTGGTTTTAATATCCTGGTGTGAATTTTCTAGTAGCAAGATTTACTTCTTCCTTTGCAATTTACCTGTTGATATTTTTGTAAACATGGTAAAACATCATAAAACAAGAGGCCCATGGGCCACATAGCTCAACTGCACACATTGGCTAGGAAAAAAGCACAAATCAATTCAGCATTGAAAACTTTACATGGGGTGGGTGGCAACTGGCAAACGTTAATTTTACACTTTGAGCATGCTTCCATATCAATATAAGTCAATGGCTCTGCTGTTCTTGAACAGAAAATATTTAAAGATTTTTAAAACGATATTTTCCTATATATTCCTTTGTAAGAAAAAATTTGATCCCCCATTGTGGCCCCTATCTTCCCCCAAGGGTCAAGATTTAAACAAATTTGAACTACACTACGTGAGGATGCTTCCATATCAATATGACTAATCATGGCTTTGCTGTTCTTGAGAAGAAGATTTTCCAAGATTTTATTTACCAATAACTTCTATGTAAAACTTTGAATGCCCATTGCCCTATGTGGCCCCACCCTACCCTCAGGGGTTGTCATCTGAACAAATCTGAATCTACACTACCTGAAAATGCTTCCATATTGATGTGACTTATCATGGCTTTACTGTTCTTGAGTAGAAGATTTTCCAAGATTTTATCCTATTTATTCCTATATCTGAATCTTTAATCCCCAATTGCAGTCCCACCCTACACCCAAGGGTTATCATTTGAACGAATTTGAATTTTCCATAATACTATGACAAATCATTGCTCTGATGTTTTTGATTTTGAAGAAGATTTTTCAAGATTTCCTATATATTCCTTTCTAAGAATTCCAAGAATAGCCCCTGTCTATCCCTGGGAGGGGGGGCGGGTCATCATTTGAACAAAGTTGAATCGACACTACATGAGGATATCATATCAATATGACTTTTTTGAGATTTTTCAAGATTTTTTCCCAAGCATTTCTATGCAAAACTTTGATACCCCATTGTGGCCCCACCATACCCCCTGGGGTCATCATTTGAACAAACTTGACAAAGAACAACAACAAACAAAAACGGATAGCAATAGGTCACCTGACTCAAGTGACCTAAAAAATAACAAAGAACAAATGGTATAATAATAAAGTGAAACTTACATAATCTGTAACATGGAGTGTCCAGCTGGGCCAGTAGTATCTGGAACCAATGGTTTTGATGACTGATGTAACTCCTTTATGCCCATTGTCATCATGACATTCTCTGAGAATGTTCAGCTGCTCCTCCATCTCAAAGATAACCAGGACAGAGCTCCGGACCCTAAAATCAATTGTTGATATATTAATTGATAAATTCAAAATACCCTGATAGTAAATAATGTAAGATGTACATTTCAAAACAGATCTATATACCATGAATTTATTATATATTTTGAAATATTTCTCAACACTATATTCATAAATATTAACGGCTTTAGTAAATAGGTATCGCAAAGAAAAAAAAAACTAATTGATTGATAGAACCCCTGGGACCACAAGTTTTAAAAATTTTGTAAAAGCATCCTTGCTTATCATAACTATACACTTGTTTCTTTGCTTTATAACCAGTAGCAAAAAAAATATTTTGAATGAAATTATGAATTTTCACTATATAATCAATAGAGCCCCCCCCCCCCTTTTCACAAGAACCCCTGGCCCTGGGGACATAAAAATTCAGAATTTTGGAAGAGGCAACCATGCTCATCATAACTAGGTACTTAGTTAGTTCATTTAATACATATGATCAGAGAAGAAGATTTTCAAAGAAATAATGTATTTTCACTATATAATCAATAGGGCCCCGCCCTAACACCAGAACCCCTGACCCTGGGGCCATGAAATTCACAATTTTGGAAGAGGCAACCATGCTCATCATAACTATGTACTTACTGGTAGTTAGTTCATTTAATACCCATGAGCACAGAAGAAGATTTTCAAAGATTTAATGCATTTTCACTATTATATAATCAATAGAGCCCTGCCCTAATACCAGAACCCCTGACCCAGGGGCCATGATCTATATAGCCCCACCCTAGCACCAGAACCCCTGACCCTGGGGCTATGAATTTCACAATTTTGGTAGAGGGCTCAATGCTTATTACAATGATGCCAACAGTTTGACTGCTTGATGTCCAGGAGTAAAGAAGAAAATTTTTGAAGATTGCATTAATTTTGGTGGTTTTAGCCCCACCCTCAGGCCCCAGGGGGGCAGGGACCATGAAATTCACAATTTTGTCCCCCTTCACCCATAGATGCTATATGCGAAAATTGGTTGAAATTGGTTGAGCGGTTTCAGAGAAGAAGCTGAAAATGTTTAAATGTTAAAGCACGACGGACGACGCATGATAATGGAGAAAAACAGATAGCAATTAGCCCTTTCACGATAACTGTGGTACTACTCTTTTGCAGGGCAAAATGATATATTTTGGTGAAATATGACGTAAAAGCAATTGTTTAATATACGTCATTTAATTATCTATCAACAAAAACTTCACCAATTAAACGTTATTAATTTGCCCTGCAAAAGAGTAGTACCACAGTTATCGTGAAAGGGCCAATAGGTCACCGTGACTAAGGTGACCTAAAAATAAATTACACAAAATAATTTTTCTAAAATAGTTTCTTGCAATTTTTTCCCCTTCAGTCAACTAAAATTCTCTGAACTTATCTATACATTATACCTAATGCATGAAGCATTCAAAATTAAAGAAAAAAAAGATTATGATGCACATGTAGCACAACGTGACGTCATAATAGGGGTGTACTAACATGAATGTAAGAAGTGATGAAACATTGGAAATGGAGAAAATGTTGTCGTTTTTATACAGCAGTCAGCATAATAATAACAATAGTGTTGTACTTTGCATGCATTATGCCTAAATAGTAGTCAGGGTTTGACACAAAGTGCACTCGCCCCCAGCTCGTGCACCAGGCGTCAAACCCTGACTACTATTAAAGGCATCTAGTGCATGCAAAGTACAGCACTATTATATAAATACAACAACATTAAACAATGCATCTGAAATGATAAGTTACTGAGAAAACCTTGACAAAAAAATTGTTACATATTGTACTGACAGAAGCACAGATAAAAAGGAAGTTGACATTGGATTCTTACAAAAATGAATTCCACCAAATGGCATGCCTAAACAAAGAAAGTGCTAAAGTTTAGAGCAACTGTGATGAGTAGTTGCTAAGAAAACTGCTACAACAAAAATTGTTACAGACACAACTGACAGACAGACACACAAGGGTAAAACAGCATACCCCCCTCCTTTAGAGCTGGGGTATAAGTAGAAGGGTTTAAGTATACACATTTAAGGCTGGACAAGCACACCAATATCCAGGTGTATTGATGTTTGACAACAAAAAATATTGTATTGCGAAATGTTTTTCTAGTACCAATATACCAGCAATGATTGAACTTAATTAAGATTTGTTATACAATAGTTGTTGTTTGGGTACAATTTGGGACATAGCTCTGTTATTATATAATTCAATAAAAAACTTTTGGGAGTTACTTATCAAAGCTGTTTTCTTTCTGCATTGTAATACATGCAAATTAGAAAAGATCATTATAATCTTAATTATTGCAATGCATACCATAATACAGTTAAAAGTATCACAGTACACATGTATATAATAAGAAAATAATCCTGTATCAGCCTGAGACACTTGTTATTAAATGCATATGTCGATTCTGATTTATGGTTTTCAGGAAGTCACAAAATATGTCAATTTAAAAATTTGCTGATGTTTTTGCAAATTTTCATCAATTTTAAGGTACATTTTGTTTTTTTAAAAAATGCAGAGCACAAACTTGCCTATATCTACCCGTTTTATATATTTTATTTGCTAGTATCAATACACAACCCTTATCCAATGGTCCATACTTCGGAAAATATAAACTAGATCCACACAACTCAATTTCTGCACATAAATATAGTGTTGTTCAGCAACTCTTGAAGGGATTTGTTTTTACTTATACATTGTAAAATTCTGGTTAACTATAATAGCCCCAACCTGCCCCAAGAGACTAATTTACTCAAATGACACGTATAGAGTAATTTCTAGCAGAATGCTAACTTTAGCCTATTTTAATTACCCGTTAGCACAAATTTTTAATCACTAAATTTGAACCTTTGTATATACTGTAAACCAATTGTTATTCACGACAATCTTTTACTCACGATTCTTCAGTTTGCAATCCATCTTCAACTACTAATTTTCATGACTGAAGCAACATTCTACATAAATACATAAGTGATTGTTCGGTTTGCAACAAGAAATATTTGAGTAAAAGAAGGTTGCGAAACTCGTGGATAATATTTCTCGCTCACAAATAAGTTTCAATATATACTGAATAAAGAAAAAACTTTGAACACATAACTTTAATCTGGTATCAAGCTTGTTTTTGCATTGTCCCTTGCCTAATAAATTTGTATTTGAAACTAAACTTAATGTATTAAAAACTCATCTAGAAGATGAGCTTTATTTACTTTGCAATGTTATGGAACTTGGTCTTTGCCAAAAAAAGTTCTGCCAATATCAATGGCCTACCTTTAAACTAGCACTTTTAATACCCCGCTAAAGAAACCCATTTTAATATAATTACAGTATGCACTTTGTCAAGAACCCTGCAAATTATTGAGAAATATCATTCATCATTGTCTTGCTGTTCCGTGACAGATATTTTAAAAGTTTTCGTAAGGGGAGGTTATATTTAAGCATTGAATCATTATTTTTTGAAAGATATAGTCTCAGAACTGCAACGGGGTGTGCAAACAAATTGAGTTACACATGTTAGCGCATTATGAAAATTTGTTTGCACACATCGTTGAAGTTATGAGACTATATCTTTCAAAAAACAATGATTCAATGCTTATATTTACATTTTTTAACTCCTTGCCTTGACTGCAAGTGTGATTTATATTTCAAAATCCCTGTATTATCCTTCGGGTAAGTTATAATTAATGGAAGAGCCGTTGCTACAGCTTCTGTTCAATGTGAGCGTGAATTTTGATTTTCCCTTATGACGTTGCACTTCCACAGCATTCAACATTTGTGAAGTCAAAATAAAACGTATACTTTAACCTTTTGACCCCCTGTTCGTGTTATGGTGTTTGAATCCCGTAGCTTTCCTCACAATTTATAAACAAAATACAATCATGTTGAATGTAAATTTCAGTAAATATAAGAAATGAAAAGAGTCTGAATGACACAAATACCCCCACTGACAAGTTTTGAATACCGGTATACGAAAGTCTAAGAATGTGAAAATAAAACTAGGTGAAAATGGCACAAAAATATCAAACTGCTGCTTTTGTTTTCATATTAACATAATAAAGCTGCTTGGAATTCAGGTGATCAAAGTAAAAGCAAAGAAATAACAACAAGAGGCCCAGGGGCCACATCACTTACCTGAGCACTCTGGCTAGGAAAAAGCAGAAATCAGTTCAGTCTTGAAAAGTTTTGATATAAAAGTGGTTCGAGGGGGTGGGTGGGTGTTGATTTGAACTTGAATCTATACTTCAAATGGATGCTTTTGAATTAATATGACAAATAATGGCTATGCTGTTCTTAAGAAGACAATTTTTATTGAAATATCATTTGTATTCCTTTGTATAACTATGATCCCCTGTTATGGCCGCTCTATTCTCCTGGGGGTGATGATTTAAACAAAATTTGAATCTACATTACCCGAGGATGCTTCCATTTATTAAATATGACTAAAATTATGGCTTTAATGTTCTTGAGAAGAAGATTTTAAAAGGCTATTTTCTATGTATTCCTATGTAAAACTTTGATTGCCCATTGTGGCCCCACCCTACCCCCAGGGGTCATGATTGGAACAAATTTGAATCTGCACTACCTGAGGATGCTTCCCTATAAATATGACCAATCATGGCTTTGCTGTTCTTGAGAAGAAGATTTTTAAAGAGTTTTCCTATATATTCCTATGTAAAACTTTGATCGCCCATTGTTGCCCCACCCTACCCCTTGGGGGGTCATGATTGGAACAAACTTGAACCTACACTACTTGAGGATGCTTCCATATAAATATGATCAATCATGGCTTTGTTGTTCTTGAGAAGATTTTTAAAGATTTTTCCTATGTAAACTTTGATCGCCCATTGTGGCCCTACCCTACCCCTGGGGGTCATGATTGGAACAAATTTGAATCTACACTACCTGAGGATGCTTCCCTTTAAATATGACCAATCATGGCTTTGCTGTTGTTGAGAGGAAGATTTTTAAAAAGTTTTCTTATATATTCC